TGCCCAGGCCAGTTTTCAGGTTTCAGCGCTCTCACACTTTGAATGACAATTGCGCGGTCATACAATATTGTACCCAAACTAAAATGTTATTTTCTTCACACAACTAGAGCTTTCTTTTGGTGGTATTTAATCACCGCTGGGGTTTTTATTTTTTGCTAAATTAACAAAAAAAGACCAAAAATTTTGAAAAAAAAACACGTTTTTCTTTGTTTCTGTTATAAAAGTTTACAAATAAATAATTGTTCTTCATAAATTCAGACCGAGATGTATTCTGCTACATGTCTTTGGTGAAAATAACCCAAATTAGGATGTATTATTTAGTTTGTAGGAAAGTTATAGAGTTCACAAACTATGGTATAGATCTGAATATTGATCAGTCCTGAAGTACTGACAGCCAATCTAATTTCTTGAGGTCCAAGAATGTCAGAACAACAGTACAGATATACCCCCAAATGACCCCTTTTTGCAGAGTAGACAGTCCGACGTACTTCATAAGAGGCATGGCGAGTTTTTTGAAGTTGTATTTTTTTTTGTCATTTTTTGGAAAATGAAAAAAATGAAAAAAAAACTTTTCACTATTTTTTTTTTTTTTACATACTGTCACCAGTGCAGTACAGCGTCATCATATAACTGGCATGGCGGTGAACAGGGACACTGACTGGTGACAGTATGAAAAAAAAATATATATTTTTTTAATTTTTTTATTACATTTTTTTTTAATTTTTTTAAGATTTGTTTTTCATATTTTACTATGACCAAAGTAGTACAATGTTACCATAGTAACATTGTACTACTTTGGGGAAGTGATCAGTATTTTTTTTTTTTACACAATTTGCTTATAGCAAAGAATTACTTTGCTATAAGCAAGCATTTACCTAAATTAAATCGATTCATTCAGGTTTTTTTTTTTTGTGCTTAGCTGTGATTTGGCCACAGCTAATCACATGACCTGCTGTGACCATTCACAGCTAGGCACTAGTATACAATGGATGGCATGAATGAAGCCATCCATTGCATACAACTGTCATGTGACCTGCTGTGATTGGTCACAGCAGGTCACATGGTACCGGCAACGGGGGCCAGTACTCAGATCTGTCATCGGCCGTATCCGAGGTACACGGCCGGTGACAGATCGCGCCGCTGCGCAGCTCTTCAATCGCGCGAACTGCGCATGTGTGGGAGTACGCCAAATGGCGTGCACCCAGAAAGCTGAAGCATTTTTGCGGAAACCAAACGGCTATAGGACGGGCGGCTAATGGTTAAAAGCATCACCTATAGAAAATCTAGGGTACTGAAATTCATCGCCATTTCACGAGTGCACTATTTTATTCTCTAGGGTCTCTGGTTTCAGAAAATATATAATGTTTGGTGGTTTTGTGTAATCTTCAGGCCCAAAATTATTTTTTTTTTAATCTTGTGTAAAAAAAAAAAAGCAAAAACGGCTCTGGCAGTGAAAGGGATAAAGGATAAGCCGGACACTCCCCTTTCCTGAGGAGCAGCCAATCGGTGCTCATTACACTGCAAGGTCTCTCTCCTCCCTGCTAGTCCCCGGGTGCGCTGCTGGACACAGTCAGGGAGGGGGGGAGGCGATAAACAGTGCAATGTGAAAAAATATTAAACGTTAAGTCACCAAAAAGCCCTTTTGTTTTTACAACATTCCTAATATCACCACCGACTTAAATATGGTTTTGGTAAAAAAATTTATTTTTTAGCTGGTCAAGTAGATTGTCATGAGGGACAAGTAGATTGGGACACCGATTTAGTCCCTTGGACAAGTAGTTTTTTAAAAAATTTCCACACCCCCGTGAACGTTACTTCAAAAATTACCACAAGGTAAGACCATATTCTTGTTTCTTGTCTTGGTTTCACAGTCCTTGACAAAGTGTCAAGGAAAATATATCCAATGGAACCAGAGACAGCAATGAAAAAAAAAAAATCCACAGAAGTTCTATTCCTTGCCCACACTATGAACCCCCCCCCCCCCCGAAAAAAAACAAAAAAAAAAAAAAAACAAAAAACACAAAAACTATATAGTTGGAATTGGGTTTTAAAAGGCCAGGTTCACTTTTGGAACATAGTACATGTTACACCCGTCTTTAGGGTGCCCCAGCAGCCTCACCCCCCCCCCCCCCCGTGAAAAAAATCGCATTGCAACAGCGGGCGAGGAATCCCTCTGCACCCACTGTCACAATTCAAAAACAGCGTGGCCGTGCGGGGCTCCACCCACACAACTGCATCATTCATTCACAGAATCCTGTGAATGAATGAACTACAAATACCATCAACCATTGCCGCTGACAGCTTGTAATTCTGAAAGGACTGAGAATACTCATAGTTCATTCACAAGCACTGCAGCATGGAAACAGTCAGCCTGTATGAAGGTAAGGGCTGAAAGCTGCAGGAGCCTGAGACTGGACCACTGATCCACTGATCATGGGTGCAATGCCTTCCAGGTTCCTGCAGGCAAAAATAATAAATGCACATTTTTTTCTGCAAAAATATGTGCATTTATTATTTTTTCTTAAAAGATGAACTTAGCCTTTAACCGTTTCTGTGCCGCTCTATAACAGAAATACTGCTACAGGGTGGCACGGGTGCGCAAAATCACGCATATAAACGTGATTTTGCAGTTCCGGGTAGGGGGCGTGTGCGAGTTGAGCACGTGCCCTACCCACACCGCCATTCGTGGCCTCTGCTGTCAATCACCAGGTCCCGGCCGGTGAGTCCCCGCCGGAACCCAGCGATCTCTGAGGATTTCCAACAGGGGAGAGACCTGTATGTAAACAATACAGATCTCTCCTCTGTCAACAATACAGATCTCTACCCTGTCAACTACTGCACACTGCTTTGTATAGTACTGCATAGCACAGCCATACAAAGCAGTGTGCTTACAGTGAAGCACACATAGTAAAACAGCACAGAGTTAACTCTTTGATCGCCCCAGAAGTTAACCCCTTCTTGCCCAGTGCCATTAGTACAGTGCCAGTGCTTTTTATTAGCACTGATCACTGTATTGCTGTCACTGGGGATGTCAGTGACACCAAGTCAGTTCCTCCCAGTGTCGAAATGACCGCTGCAGTCCAGTCCCGCAACAAGTCGCTGCTCACTGCTATTACTAGTAAAAAAAAAAAAAAAAAAAAAAAAAAAAAAAATCACAGTATATATACACCATCATTTGTAAACGCTATGACTTTCACGAAAACCAATTAATTTACATGTATTGGTATTTTCTTTAGCAAAGACATGGAGCAGAATACATTTTGGCCTAAATTCATGACAAAATTTGATTTAAAGGACATGTTTAACCACTTGCAAACGGGTGATAGCCATATGACGGCTTCGCCACTGCCGGCCAGTTCTGGGAGGTCGTCATATGACATCCTCCCGTAATCGCGCTTCACGTGCACCCCCGGCGGCACGCATCAGAAACTGTAAAGTGATGGCTGTGTCCTTCGGACACAGCGCATCACAAAGAGGGAGGGTGAAGGGCCAATTGCAGAGGCCGTTTACATTTGTGATCGCTCTGTCCAATGACGAGCGATCACAAATCTAAACACAGAAGGGTCATGGCTGGGTTTTCTCTCTCCTTTCCTCACACCAATAGCGGGTGTGAGGAAAGGAGAGAGAAATCGGTTTTTAAAACTGTGAGTGTTCTCATCAGTGCCCTATCTGTGCTCATCAGTGCCCGCCAGTGAGTGCTCATCTGTGCATATCTGTGCCCATCAATGCTCATTGGTGCATATCAGTGCTCATCTGTGCATATCAGTGCTCAATTTTTCACTTTTTTTAGCTATCAACCAGCAAAAAATGCCAGACAAATGCTATGTGTTAGAAATATCTTATAAATGGACAACTTTGTGTGAAAAAAAAAAAAAGTTTTCAATTTCTTTCTGCACATTCCGAAAACTTTTAGAAATAAATGACATATTCAAAAGACTCATTATGCCTCACGGAATATACATTGGGGTGTTTGCTTCTCAAAATGGGGTCATTTTGTGGGCAATTCCATTGTGCTGGTGCTTCCGGGCCTTCAAAAGCGTAATAGGTAGTCAAGATGTTAGATGTGTAATGTATGTCCCTAGAACACCTGATGGTGCTCCTTGCATGTTGGGCCTCTCTATGTGGTCAGGCTGTGGAAAAGTCTCACACGTGGTATCACCATATTTAGGAGGAGTAGCAGAATGTATTTGGGGTGTATATTGTGGTATTTACATGTTATGTGTTAGAAATATTTTATAAAATCGGACAACGTTTTAATTTTTTTCCCACATTTTCCGAAAACTTGTGGAAAAAAAAATGACATGTTGAAAAGACTCTTTATGCCTCACGGAATATACATTGGGGTGTTTGCTTCTCAAAATGGGGTAATTTTGTGGGTGTTTCCTCTGTCCTGGTGCTCCAGGGCCTTCAAAAGTATGAAGGTTGTCAGGAAAATAGATGTGTAATTTTTGCCCCTAGAATACCTAAAAGGTGCTACTTGGATGTTGGGCCTCTCTATGTGGTCAGGCTGTGGAAAAGTCTTACACATGTGGCATCGCCATAATCAGGAGAGGTAGCAGAATGTATTTTGGGGTGCAGTTGAAAGTATGCCTGTGGTGTGTGTGAGAAATAACTTGTTAATATAGCAATTTTGGGGGGGGGGGGGGATCTTAATTTTCCAAAGAATTGTGGGAAAAAATTACAACTTCAAAAAAACTCACCATGCCTCTTACTAAATACTTTGAAATGTCGGCTTTCCAAAAAGGAGTAATTTGTACTGTCCTGGCTTGTTAGGACCTCAAGACATGAGATAGGCCATCAGTACATCAGGATTGATCAGGTGTCATCAATTTTCAGTGATTGGTACCATAGCTTGTAGACTCTATAGCTTTCACACAGACCAAATAATATACACCGATTTGTGTTATTTTTACCAAAGAAATGTAGCAGTATACATTTTGGGCAAAATTTATGAAGAAAAATTACTTATTTGCAAACTTTTAGAATAGAAGCTAAGAATTCTGACATTCTGACACTGGGGGGGACTAACTTGGTGCCACTGAAACCTCAGTGATACCAATACAGTGATCAGTGCTTAAAAAAAACCCCAAAAAAGCACTGACACTGGGCAGGAAGGGTTTAATGTGAGCGGCAATCAAAGGGTTAACTGTGTGATGGGAGTGTTTTACTAGGGGGCAGGGGTGTTCTTCACTGTAAGCACACTGATCGGGATGGCTGTACTGTGCACAGCCATCCCGAGCAGTGTGCCCGAGCTGACAGGGAAGATGGTTTGTAAACAAAACAATCTTCCTCTCCGTCGGAGATGCTCGGTAATCACCAGGCGCCAGCAGGTAATTACTGGCCGGGACCCAGTGATTGATATCCGCAGCCACGAATGGTGGTGCGGTTAGGGCTCACGCGTGTCCCCTACCCGGAAATGCAGAATGACATGTATATATACTGTACACGTGATCCTGCGCGCACAAGAGCAGACTTCAGTCCTCTGTCAGCTGAAAATAGGTCACAGGAGTGCAGAATAAACTGCACTCCTGTGATCCACAGGAGAATTACTGTACAGCTGAAAAAAACTCATTTAAAATTTTACAACCCATGACATTTGTATGTGCTAATACGTGCAAAGGAACTGCACCGAAACCACAGAAGTGTGACTAGAGTCTGAGAACTATGTGCACATGACAACTTGCCTGCCATCTTGTTTGACATATTTCTGCAAAATCAAAAAGTATCGTTTGCACAGAAAACACAATTTACATGAAAAAAAATAGAGTCACCAACATGTTGTACTGAAATGGAGAGCAGAGGGAAGTGCAGCAGTATCATATTTAACCCCTTGAGGCCGACGTAACACAAATATGCAGCCTCACAGCACTGGGCTATTTTCCGTGTGGCCGCATATTTGCGTACCTGTCTTTGTGCTGGGAGCGCGCCGCACGGCGCTCTCCCAGCACAAAGACTGCGGTGTCACTGAGAGCACCGGGTCCCATTCTAATGATCGGGACCAGGGACTCTCAATTCCGGGTCACATGATCGCTGTGATCGCCTCTGATTGGCTAACACAGTGATCAGTCACTGTACAGCCCAATCCCTTGTTTGTTTGTTTTTTTTTTTTTCTCTATGAATGGAGGAGAGAGATACATTGTATCTCTCTAACTCCTGGCATAGAGGGGGAAAAAAAAAATGTTTGTAAAAAAAAAAAAAAAAAAAAGATAAAATGAATAAAATGTTAAAAAATAAAATAAAAAACTAAATAAAGAAAAAATACCTAAATCAATGTTTGATCTAGTTCAGTGCCAGGGTAGGTGTTTGGGTCAAGGTCAGGATTTAAAATAAATTTGGTATCAGTGTGTTTTAGGTAAAAAGAAAAAAACAAAAACAAAATGCGCACTATTAGTTCTGGGCTCTACTACGGGTACAAATAACATACAGGTATGGTATCACTGCGATCGTCAAGAGCTGGAGAAATTTATTTTGGGTTGTTCTATGGTGGTAGGTTATGGAAGTAACAAGAAACACAGCTAAATAAAATAAAAGATTTTCTTTTTACTATTTTGGGCCGGTTTTTCTTTGATAAAAAAAAAAAAATCAGGAGATATCTATTACCATTTACCATCAGATGAAAGCCCAATTTGTCCTGAAAAAAACGCGGTATAATTCACCTGGATGTACAAAGTAGTTGTGATGATAAGTACGGTTTTACTAACACATGTCAAACGTTGCAAAATTGTGCTTAGGCATTTAGATTTGTTTCACCCTTAGGCGTGAAGGGGTTAAGCTACTTATGGCATTGCTTCAGCTTGCTGGAGAATATTTCTACACACAATGTGAGGTTGCCAATTTCATTCACCGTGGGGCACATTACCTGGCCAGGAAGGGCTGAGGGAAGCACCCCATTGTCTTAGTCTTTATGAATTCCTGTAGCTGAAGGAACTGCATCAACAGCACAGCAGCCCGAGACCGGTCAATCTTTGTCATCACAAACTGCAGAAAAACATTTAAAAACATAAATTTATCACTTCATTCTTACTGGAAATGTATATTATTAGTCTTAGGGACAAAAATGAAATGAAAAAAAATTAAAAGAAAAGTCAGCAGCTAGAAAATATTACATACAAATAATTTATCATAACCAGCATATGGTGCTCTAACACCCTCTTCACATTTACCAGGGCACTCTTAACTGCTATGCTGAAGAAATCTGTCAATAGCTCAAATTACACACACAGCTGAATGAGACATATTGACTCCTCCCTCCTACTCCCACTGCAGTTAGGCTCCGTTCACATCAAATCCGTTTTTGAAATCGTGCGACTTACAGTGAAGTTGCACAAATTTCAAATCGGGTGAGATGCCGATGTCTATGCAAATCGCAACACAAGTAGTACATGTACTACTATTGAAATCGTTGCGGCTCCAACCAAGTCGGAACCACCATGATATGACCGCTCTAATAGCAGATAATAAGGTGCAACTTGGCATGCGATTTGCAAGTCGCAGGGCATGCAAATCGCATGCCAAGTCGCATCCAGTGTGAACCAGAGCCAGCAGCTGTGTTCTGTGACACTGCTTTCACAGGAATAGTGTGATAAAACATATCCAGAGCGACTTCACATGTCCAGTCTGGAGGAAAGAAGGGAAAGGTGAGACATGATTGAAATCTTTAAATACATCCAGGGGGTGAATAAGTTCAGGAGGACAGGATTTTCAACACGAAACCAAAATCAAGAACACGGGACATGACCTGAAACTAACTGGAGGAAAGTTCATAACTAATCTCAGAAAGTACTATTTTACTGACAGAGTAGGTGATACTTGGAGTGAACTTCCTGCAGAGGTAGTGAGCCGGTCAATAGTAAATAGCTTCAAACATGCATGGGATAAACATAGATCTATATTCAGACAAAAAAAGTTAAAGAAAAAAAAATAAAATCAATAAAAACAGGACAAACACCCCCTCCCCCCCACAAAAAATAAAACGCAAAAAATAAAAAAAAAAACAGAAAAAAACCCCCACAAACACACACACATTGGCAGACTCAATGGACCACTCTGGTCTTTTTCTACCGTCACTTTTGTATGTTTCTATGTATTTAATTTTACTCTTACTTCCATCACAAAATACTAAAATAAGGGGCTTTTCTGCTTTCGACATGGGTGCCAAAATTGCAGATTATTCTTCCGCCTGGCAGTATTAGGGTTGTTGGTTTGAATCCCAACCATGTCACCACCTGCCTGGAGTTTGCATGTCCTCCCTGTGTCTGCGTGGGTTTCCTCCCAGTACTTTGGTTTCCTCCCACACGCCAAAGACATGCTGGTAGGTGAATTGGCTTCTGTCTAAATTGGCCCTAGTACGTGAATGCATGAATGTGAGTTAGGGACCTTAGATTGTACGCCCCTTGAATATATATATATATATATACACACATATATACACACACATATACATACATACATACACATACATATACATATATACATATATATATATTCAAGGGGCGTACAATCTAAGGTCCCCAACTTACATTCATACACACACATACTAGGGCCAATTTAGACAGGAGCCAATTAACCTACAGCATGTCTTTGGCGTGTGGTAGGAAGTACCGGGAGGAAACCCACGCAGGCACAGGGAGGACATGAAACACACACACACACACACTTTTATTTTGGAAAGCGCTGCGTGAATTGACAGCGCTATACAGGTACCTGTAATAAAAATAAAATATTCTTCCTATAATAAAGACTGGTTGCTGCTGCTCTATCGTTCTTTCCGGGGGTGGCTGGTCTTAACTCCGCCCCCTCCTATAGTTTTCTGCAGGAATCTGTAGTGGGTGGAACCAAGCCTACTGGGCCCCTCCCACAGCTCCGCTCTCTTCACGGGCTACTTTCATAAGATAATAACTAGGTCTACAAAAGCATTTGGTGCACACTGAGTGGATTCACAGCCTTGGCGCCTATCCAGGAATACATTTAAATGTTCAGCTTCAACACGTTGTTGTTCCTGTGGAACTGTGCCTAGAACAGAATGCCAAGAAGGAGGCACAAATATAATGTCATATGAAAGTTAGTACACCCCATGAAAATTGTTGACCTTTTCCACATATTTGAACAGGCAAATATTACATCTTTATTCAAACAGTGTTTACAGATGAACAGATATACTTGCATAAGAATAGAAAAAAAAATTGCTTTTATAAATGATTATGTTTCATACTTCTTTTAGGCCATAGTTGATGAGCTCAGGGAGCAATCACTTGATGACTACAACATAGTAACTGCTTTCCCACCGCCCTATAGCAGAAATAGTGCTACAGGGGTGCGCAAAATGTGCACACACACACACACACACACACACACAAACACACACACACACACACTCTTTTGTATTTCTGGGCCATTTGCGGCCTCGGCTGTCAGTCATCGGGTCCTGATTACTCGCTGGCACCCGGTGATCGCCAAGTATTACTGATGGGGGAGAGACCTGTATGTAAACAATACAGTTTTCTCCCTTGTCAGCTCCTACACACTGCTTTGTATGGTTCTGCATAGCAAAGCCATACAAAAAGGGCTTACAATGGAAAGCACATAAACAGCACACAGTTAACCCTTTGATTGCCCCAGATGTTAACGCCTTCCTGCCCAGTGCCATTAGTACAGTGTCAGTGCTTTTTATTAGCATTGATTACTGTATTGGTGTCACTGGGGATGTCAGTGACACCAAGTCCATTCCCCCTCAGTGTCAGAATGCCCGCCGCAGTCCCGCTATAAGTTGCTGATCGCCGCCATTACTAGCATAAAAAAAAAAAAATTCCAGTATATATACCGCCATTTGTAAACGCTATAACTTTCACGTAAACCAATTCATTTACACGTACTGGGATTTTTTTTTCAGCAAAGACATGGAGCAGAATACATTTTGGCCTAACCTTATGATGAAATTTGATTTTTGAAATTTTTTTATTGGACATGTTTAATAGCAAAAAGTAAAAAATATTGTTTTTTTTTCTCAAAATTGCCAATCTTTTTATGTTTATAGCACAAAGAAAAAAAAAAAAAAAAAAAAAAAAAAAAAAAAAAGCAGAGACGATCGAATACCACTGAAAGAAAGCTCTATTTGTGGGAAAAAAAACAGGATGTAAATTTCATTTGGGTGCAGCTTTGCATGACTGCGCAATTGTCAATTAAAGTAACGCAGCGCTGTAACGCAAAAAATGGCCTGGTCAGGAAGGGGGGGGGGGGGGTAAATCCTCTGGAGGGCAAGTGGCTAATAAAGAGATGATGCTGTCGCAACGAAACTTGTATTGGCACAGACTTACAACGTAAGGAATTCCTAACTCCTCACACATCTCCACTGCAATCAGATCTGCCTCCTGAATTCCTATGGAACTGTCCAATAGTAGAAATGTCCTTTTCAAACTAAAAAAAAAAAAAAAAAAAATAAGTAATAATAATAATTAAAAAGAATTTCAACGTTACATTTTAAAAAAGGAACGTGTACAAAGAGGAGACTACATTAAAATAAAATGAAGCAAAAGTAGAGCAATCCAATCTGTTTGTAAATGTTTTTCCATCTTTGTTCAATTTTTATCAGCTGCTAGAGACGGTTATCATTTTCCATCGCACCTATGAATGTGATTGGCAGCTGCAGAAAAATTAAACTGCAGAAAAAAGGACTATAAATGTATTATTTAAATACAAGCAGTGTATCAGCCTCTTTCAGCATAACTGCAATGTGAGAGGCAAAAGCAGCACAAGGAGCCAATCATTTCATAAGCTGAGAAGATACATGCAGATAGGAGAAGAGAGCAGAGTGATAGAGAAATGAACTCATCAATGCGTTGCTTCTTCTTACACCAACCAATCACAGTCTGGGGGCAGGTCCACCTGGGCTAAATAGAAGTGAGGTAAAATAATGCTGGCCTTAAGCTTGAGGACACCTAGCGGCAGACAGAAGTACTGCAGGGAAAATCTCTGGATCAACAGGGAAAGCAGAAAAAGCTGTTTGTTTTTTTATATTTATATGGGCTATATGTTTTTATCTTGCGATTTTGGATGGAGTTCTGCTAGAAGGTCCGTCCATTACAATATGTTTACAAGAAGACTGTAATCTTACCCATTTATGTATTATTTAACATACGTAAATGGTCATTTTAATGTAAATAACCACACCAATATCTGTCAATGATTTTGAAAATGTTTCCATTATTGTACTATGTACAGATTTGTGGATTCTCTTGTCTTGTAGCTATTGGTATTTTCACTATAGCCACTCAGTCCCTCTGGTTAACAGCGGATTTCTTTCAGGTACTTATATAGCGCTGTCAATTTTCGCAGCGCTTTACATATGGCAGCACAGTGGCTGAATGGTTAGCACTTCCACCTGGCAGTACTAGGGTCGTTGGTTCGAATCCCAGCCATGGCACCTCCTGCCTGGAGTTTGCATGTTCTCCCTGTGCCTGCGTGGGCTTCCTCCGGGTACTCCGGTTTCCTCCCACACTCCAAAGACATGCTGGTAGGTTAATTGGCTCCTGTCTAAATTGGCCCTAGTATGTGTATGTATGAATGTGAGTTGGGGAACTTAGATTGTACGCCCCTTGAGGGTTAGGGAGTGATGTGAATGTACAATATATATGTAAAGCGCTGCGTACATTGACGGCGCTATAGAAGTACCTGAAATAAATGTAAAATATATATATATATATATATATATATATATATATATATATATATATATATATATAATTTTTTTTTTACATTTATTTCAGGTACTTCTATAGCGCCGTCAATGTACGCAGCGCTTTACATATATATTGTACATTCACATCACTCCCTAACCCTCAAGGGGCGTACAATCTAAGTCCCCAACTCACATTCATACATACACATACTAGGGACAATTTAGACAGGATCTAATTAACCTACCAGCATGTCTTTGGAGTGTGGGAGGAAACCAGAGTACCCGGAGGAAACCCACGCAGGCACAGGGAGAACATGCAAACTCCAGGCAGGTGGTGCTGTGGTTGGGATTCGAACCAGTGACCCTAGTACTGCCAGGCGGAAGTTCCAAATCGGAAGTTGTCAGTTCCAAATCGCATGACAAGTTGCACCCTATTTGTGCCTATGGAACTGTTGAAATCGGTGTAGCACTGAATTTGAAAGAAATCCTGCACTATTTTTGGCATGAAGTTGCACAGATGTCAGGCAAGCCGCACATGAAATTGGACTGACCAGCGTCTTTGAAATCACGTTGCTTCAAGTGAAGTAGCGCGATTTCAAAACCGCATTCAGTGTCAACCAGGGCTAATCCACTTGACCTCCGGGGCTTTTCTGACATTTTTTTGTTACATATTCTATTTTATGCTACAAATGGACCTAAAACCCCCCAAACATTATGTATTTTTTTTTTTTAAAGCAGAGGCCCTAGAGAATAAAATGGTGGGTGTTGCAATTTCTTTTGTGTTACACGGTATTTGAGCAAACAGTTTTTCAATGTTCAATGGTTTAGGAAAAAAAATAAACGATTTTTTTAATTTTAATGTAAATTGCGCACACCGTGCATCGGCGACAAACGACGTACCTTTTTACAATCCAGGGTGAACCACATTAAACGCAAAAACACAATATAATATCCAATTGTTTGGTAAATTTTAAAAGATGACGTTACAATAAGTAAATCGATACCAAACATGTCACTCTTTAAAATTGCGCACACCCGTGCATCGGCGACAAACGACGTACATTTTACTATCCATGGGTGACACTTTAAAAGCTTTTACAGGTTACCAGTTTATATTTACGCAGGAGGTCCAGTGCTAAAATTACTGCCGTGATCTGACGTGATTCCTCACATGTGTGGGGCGATCACGGTTTGTGTGCATGCAGGACCGATGTGTGCGTTTACCTTTGCGAGCAACCACAGGACTTAAGAGGGACAGGGGCGCTTTAAAAACTTTGTTTTATTATTTTTACACTGTTTCTTTAATTTTTTTTTAATCACAGGAAATATAAACATCCCATGTGATATGCATGTTATTGTTTATTTTGTTCTGTGATCACCATAAAGTTTTTGAGGCGCTTATATGTGGAAGGATATTTTTCTGGTCCTGTTGTTGTGTCTGTTTTTAGTCAGGTTTTATCCTGACCTTCTCACCGTGCATCTTTAAAAGGCAACATTTGTGCCAGTTGTCAGTCAATTCTCACTGCACAGACTTTAAGGCACAGGTGTCTATCACTTTCCAACTTTGTGATTTGTGTCACTTATGCCCTTCTTTAAGGGACTAATTTGTGGTTTTGCACAAATTTTTGATAGTCTCAGTGATTTATTTTCCATTTTCATATGCTTGATACTTTTTTTAAACAGTATTGAATGTATCTATTAATATAAGATGTCTTTATAAATCTAAGACGGTGGAGTTTGAATGAGATATATATATATATATATACACATAATATATATACACACACACACACACACACACACACACACACACACACACACACACACACACAGTCAGGTCCATAAATATTGGGACATCGACACAATTCTAACATTTTTGGCTCTATGCACGACCACAATGGATTTGAAATGAAACGAACAAGATGTGCTTTAACTGCAGACTGTCAGCTTTAATTTGAGGGTATTTACATCCAAATCAGGTGAACGGTGTAGGAATTACAACAGTTTCCATATGTGCCCCTCCCACTTGTTAAGGGACCAAAAGTAATGGATAGAATAATAATCATAAATCAAACTTTCACTTTGTAATACTTGGTTGCAAATCCTTTGCAGTCAATTACAGCCTGAAGTCTGGAACGCATAGACATCACCAGACGCTGGGTTTCATCCCTGGTGATGCTCTGCCAGGCCTCTACTGCAACTGTCTTCAGTTCCTGCTTGTTCTTGGGCATTTTTCCCTTCAGTTTTGTCTTCAGCAAGTGAAATGCATGCTCAATCGGATTCAGGTCAGGTGATTGACTTGGCCATTGCATAACATTCCACTTCTTTCCTTAAAAAAAACTCTTTGGTTGCTTTTTCAGTCTGCTTTGGGTCATTGTGAAGCGAAGCGTCCAATGAGTTGTGAAGCATTTGGCTGAATATGAGCAGATAATATTGCCCGAAACACTTCACAATTCATCCTGCTGCTTTTGTCAGCAGTCACATCATCAATAAATACAAGAGAACCAGTTCCATTGGCAGCCATACATGCCCACGCCATGACACTACCACCACCATGCTTCACTGATGAGGTGGTATGCTTAGGATCATGAGCAGTTCCTTTCCTTCTCCGTACTCTTCTCTTCCCATCACTCTGGTACAAGTTGATGTTGGTCTCATCTGTCCATAGGATGTTGTTCCAGAACTGTGAAGGCTTTTTTTAGATGTCGTTTGGCAAACTCTAATCTGGCCTTCCTGTTTTTGAGGCTCACCAATGGTTTCCATCTTGTGGTGAACCCTCTGTATTCACTCTGGTGAAGTCTTCTCTTGATTGTTGACTTTGACACACATACACCTAGCTCCTGGAGAGTGTTCTTGATCTGGCCAACTGTTGTGAAGGGTGTTTTCTTCACCAGGGAAAGAATTCTTTCGGTCATCCACCACAGTTGTTTTCCGTGGTCTTCTGGGTCTTTTGGTGTTGCTGAGCCCACCGGTGCATTCCTTCTTTTTAAGAATGTTCCAAACAGTTGTTTTGGCCACGCCTAATGTTTTTGCTATCTCTCTGATGGGTTTGTTTTGTTTTTTCAGCCTAATGATGGCTTGCTTCACTGATAGTGGACAGCTCTTTGGATCTCATCTTGAGAGTTGACAGCAACAGATTCCAAATGCAAACAGCACACTTGAAATGAACTCTGGACCTTTTATCTGCTCATTGTAATTGGGATAATGAGGGAATAACACACACCTGGCCACGGAACAGCTGAGAAGCAAATTGTCCCATTACTTTTGGTCCCTTAACAAGTGGGAGGCACATATGCAAACTGTTGTAATTGCTACACCGTTCACACTGATTTGGATGTAAATACCCTCATCATTTCATTTCAAATCCATTGTGGTGGTGTATAGAGCCAAAAATTTTAGAATTGTGTCGACGTCCCAATATTTATGGACCTGACTGTATATATATGTATATATATATATATATATATATATATATATATATATATATATATATATATATATATATATATATATATATATATATATATATAAAGTGTGTGTGTTTTAGGCCTATAGGCCCTGTTTACGAAAGCGCAGCACCATTTTTTTCAATGAAAAACAAACACCCAAGACTTAGTAGGCCAAAGAAAACCCCACAAAATTAATAAAAATTTCAGCTTTGCCAAAATACTCAGTTTCAGTCTTGACTTGTCCCTTGCAATACCTCTTTTCCACCATTAGATGTGGGCAGTCTTCCAGGTTGAATGACAGCCATCATCATCCAACCCACTTTCTGTAAGCTCAAACTGTCATAGACTCACATTAGGGAGTGGGAGGAAATAGCATTTTTTAAAATTTAGAGATATATAGTTAGGTCCATATATATTTCCAGTGGCACTGGGTCATTGGTGTTTATTGATGATGAGACAGAAGCAGCTGGATGAATTCTGCAGTGTTTAGAGATATACGGTCAGCCCAGATTCAGACAAATGCAGCAAAGTTGATTGGACGGCGCTTCACAGTACAGATGGACAATGATCCAAAACACGCTGCAAAAAGCAACCCAGGAGCTTTTGAAGGAAAAGAAGTGGAATATTCTGCAATGGCCGAGTCAATTATCTGATCTCAACCTCATTGAGCATGCATTTCACTTGCTGAAGGCAAAACTAAAGGCAGAAAGACAAACAAAAACAACTGAAGACAGCTGCAGTTAGAGCCTGGCAAAGCATCAGAAAGGAGGAAACCCAGTCTTTGGTAATGTCCATGGGTTCCAGACTTCATGCAGTCATTGCCAGTAAAGGATTCTCAACAAAATATTAGAAATTAACATTTTATTTATGATTATATTCAATTGTACAATTACTTTTGGTCCCTTGAAAAAGGGGGATGGCTAATCTTAAGAGCTGTAATTCCTAAACCCTTCTTCCAATTTGGATGTACAGTACATACCCTCAAATCAAACCTGAGAGTGCGCACTGTCAGCCCATATCCATTATATAACTATAGCTTGTATATGTTTTGGTAAATACCTGAAAAAACTAAAAATTGTGCCTGTGTCCAAATACATATGGACCTAACTGTATATATTATTATTATTTTTTTAAATAGTGCAGAAGGGTGGTAAAAACTGGAAATCCAATGTTGTGAAAGGAATATGAAAGGTTGGCATTGCTCTCCTTATAAAAATGCTCATTGCCTGGCTGGCCAGCTCAACCACTTGCTTCAATCATGGCATCTAGAGAAATCATGGCGATCTAAGAACTGAGCCCCAGCGTGATAAATAACAAGCCAGCACACTACTCACTCCAAAAAATATCCACCCATATGTGAAATTTATCTTTCGGATGGACAAGGCCCTTATGGGACGCATATTCATTGGTCTGGGAAACATACTTGTGTCTCTCCTGTATGTACGATTCCACCATTTCAGCAAAGTCCTCGGGAGCTCTGTACCCGTAGCCCGGCATGTCCACCAGGGTGAAGGCTTTTCCCACTTTGAAAAAGTTCATTTTCTTTGTGTGACCCTCAGGGAGAGAGGAAAAAAGCAGAATAAACACCAGAGTAATACAAACAAGAGATTGATTTACTGAAAGATTAGATTTGAAGCGGTGTTCACTTTAAGTAACCAATCACGTCAGGAAATGAAAGAAAAAAAACCCCCAAAAAAACCAAAACACACATGATTGGATGAACACAGCTTCCGAGAGCTAAGTGAATTTTCTACTCCTTTTTACGTATTGTATTAATCATAAAACTCCCAAACACAGAGCTTTCAGTCAGGGCCTATATAGATCTATGTGGTGCATTAACATGCGTTATGTTAAAGTGTCGCTTTTTTCATTTTGAATAAATAAGGAAGGACTATGTCAAAGTCATTTTTTTTTTTTTTTTTGCCATCTGTGTCCTATTGGGGAGATTTACCTTCACTTCCTGTTCAATAACTAAAAACAGGAAGTGAGAGGAAATTCCTCCAAAAGCAAGGGAATTTGGGGTGACACCAGGATCACCAGAACTAGTGTCCCCATTGGAAGATTTCCCCTCTATTACTGTGTGTCAACCCAAAATTTGTGAATTTCTCTTTCATTTTCAATAGCTGTAAACAGGACAAATAGAAGGGGGAATCTCCCTAAATGGGACACAGACAGCAATACAATCTGACAGAGATTCGAAATATTCACTCTTTAAAAAACTGAAAAATAAATAAAATAAAATGTTGCTTTTAGTGACACTTTAAATAGCCCTTTCTAAATGAATGAGCTGCCAACACACCCCGATGTTCCCTGTTTTTGACACACCACAACACACAGGTGTATTGCCTTAGTCTGTTGGGGAGCAGTTCAAAATAAATGGCACTGCAATGCAGAAATCTCTGTTCTGAATCAGCACATCAGTCCCTGCCCTTGAGGAGCTTACAATCTAAGGTCCCCAACTCACATTCATACATACACATACTAGGGCCAATTTAGACAGGAGTCAATTCAACCAGCATGTCTTTGGAGTGTGGGAGGAAACCGGAGTTCCCGGAGGAAACCCACACAGGCACAGGGAGAACATGCAAACTCCATGCATGCAGACAATGGACTTTTAAAGTGGGAATCCCACTGCTGCAAGGCAGACGTGCCAACCACTGCTCCATCATTAAGTGACAAGCTAGGACACCTCTGGGCTATCCTGCCTCTCCTGACCTCACTCTTTGACTGACAGTCTGGTCTATCACGGTCATCCATGCCTGCACATACACACTCTCCTAATCCTGCCCACAATAACGCCCTTTCATTGTTCATTACATTGCATGATGGGAATTGTAGTTTCTAGTAGTGGCACTGCACATGGAGGCTAAAGTGGTGTATCCGCCTCCATGTTACCTGCTCCAGGTGTCTGGTCATTGCTGCTTTTTTCTGAATGTGGGCAATTTGTTCAACAGATCAATGACTTTGGAAAGTTGGGTGACCTGAGACGCTGGATTATAAAGAAATGGCAGGCATCTTCTATACAAATGTGATGTCACTTATGGATGAATTACACTTGTATCACGGAGTTTAAATTTACAGGTCAGAGGAGCAAATAAGAGAAGTTTACTGTTTGGGTTTACACTTTACACTGGACAGCCATATGCGATCAATGACTTACTGCTGTCCCCTGTAGCGATAGACTGGTGGCACTTTAATGACTTAGTGCTGTTCCTTTAATAACAGGCTGGTACCCCATCAATGGCATAAATGATGTTCCTCTAATGGCAGATTGGGGTCCCTTTTATTTGCATGCTAGTGGCCCCTTCAATGACATACTGATTCCTCCATAATAACAGACTGGTGTCCTTGTAAAGGCATGCTGGTGTCCCTTTAGTGACATACAGGTGTTCCTTTAATGACATGCTGGTAACCCTTCAATGGCACAATGATGTACCTTTATAAGCATACTGGGGGGTCCCTTTATCGGCATATACCGGTGCCTCTGTAATAAAAAAATGGTGTCTCTGTAATGGCATACTGGTGCCCCTTACAATGACATACTAGTGTCCCAGTAGTGATAGACTGGGCGCCCCTTCAATGAATACAGTTGCAAGAAAAAGTATGTGAACCCCTTGGGATTACGTGGAGTTTTGCATGGATTGGGCATAAAATGTGCTCTGAATGTCATCTAAGTCACAACAATAGAACACAGTCTGCTTGAACATAATACTACACAAAACATTAGATGTTGCCATGGTTTAATTGTACATAACATGTAAACATTCACAGCGCAGGGAGGAAAAAGAATGTGAACCTTTGGACTTAATAACTGGTTTGACCCTCCTTTGGCAGCAATAACCTCAACCAAACATTTCCTGTAGTTGCAGATCAGACCTGCACAACAATCTGGAGTAATTTTGGACCACTCCTCTTCACAAAACTGTTTCAGTGTAGCAATATTCTTGGGATGTCTGGTGTGAATCGCTCTCTTAAGGTCATGCCACAGCATTTCAATCGGGTTGAGGTCAGGACTCTGACTGGGCCATTCCAGAAGGCCACTCTGGGATTCTTCTTTACCTCATGCAGCATTCTGCGCTGTGCTCTTGCAGTCATTTTTACAGGACGACAACGCCTAGGGAGAGTAGCAACAGTGCTAAACTTTCTCCATTTGTAGACAGTCTGTCTTACCGTGGACACATGAACATCAAGGCTTTTGGAGATACTTTTGTAACCCTTTCCAGCTTCATACAAATCAACAATTCTTGATCGTAGGTCTTCAGAGAGCTCTTTTCTGCGAGGCATGGTTCACATCAGAGAGTGCTTCTTGAAACCAGTAAACCCAAAACAGGTGTGTGTTTTTTAAGGGCAGGACAGCTGGCAGCAACACATCCAATATCATCACACTGATTGGAGTCAAGGTTGGCTCACTCCCGGCTCCAATTAGCTCTGGGAGAAGTCATTAAGTTAGGGCCTCACATACTTTTTCCTCCCTGCACTGTGAATGTTTACATGTTATGTGCAATTAAACCATGGCAACATCTAATGTTTGTGTAGTATTATGTTCAGCAGACTGTGTTCTTCTATTGTTGTGACTTAGATGACGTTCAGAGCACATTTTATGCCCAATTCATGCAAAGCTCCACGTAATCCCAAGGGGTTCACATACTTTTTCTTGCAACTGTACTAGTGTCCCAGTAGCGACAGACTGGTACACCTTCAATGACATACTAGTGTCCCAGTAGCGATAGACTGGTGGCGCTTCAATGACATACTGCTGTTCCTTTAACCACTTCAAGTCCGGACACTTTCACCCCCTTCCCCCCCCAGGCCAATTTTCAGCTTTCAGTGCTATCACACTTTGAATGACAATTGGGCGGTCAAGCAAACACTGTACC